TTTTAAGTGATTATTAATAATGCCTTGTCATACCTGTGGCTATATGTTTATATATGAAATTTCAGTTTTTGCAATGCTTTTATACTTTTATTAATTCTATAATAGAGAGGATTAATGGACCACTGTAATGTGAAGGATTTCGTATTTCATTGACAAGTGAATACCACAGCGTCAAATATGCAAATATTTATGTGCTCAAGCCCAAGTTATATTAGAAATAAATTAACATTTTAATTATCTACTGTACGTACATATACTATATATATATAAACACACGTATGTTATATAAATGCAACATATAACACACATATGTGGTTAAATAAATAGGTAACTATAAATTTACATATATACAATAAGTATAGGAGTACATAGGCATAGATTAGTTTATTGTTTATTGTAGTTTTATTGTGTTATTGTGTACTCGTATTTGCCTGCAATTGAAGTGTGACTAAGTGAAGCATTAACATCTTTCTAGTTCAATAGTTTAAATTTAAAGTCTTATGCACATTGAAGGAAATTGAATTTCACACAGGAAACCCATTGAATTGGTTTCCATGCCTTGAAAGTTATTTATTCAGTGCATCGTCGATGGTTGTTTCTTAAGAATGATTGCATGTGCTATAAGTTTTCGAATTTATAATTTAATTAAAACACAACCAAGTTTTGAATATTAATTACTTTTGAGGAGAGAAAGTCAATAAAAGTTGAATAAAAATAAGTAAAAGCGATAATTTGATTTAAATTGCATTTCTGCAATTTATTTTATTTGAATTCATTCTTTTTATTTAACTCAACAGTATATGAAATTACAGACAAAAAATGGAGTTCACTTTTCTAATATTTTCATGCGAAAAGTTACTCAAATCGAACTTGCAAAGGAAAAGTATTTGTATCAAAATTTGTTGAGTTCTCTCCCAACTTATTTTTGATTTAATTTTATTAAGAATATTGCTAAAGTTTTTCCACAAAGTTTTTCGGACTAATTTATACAATTCAAAGTAAAGTATGTTCTTTATAAAATAAAATTTTTAAAACTTTCACAATGCAAAAAAATTTGCAACAAATCTTATACATCTAAGCTAATAAGTGCTTATAGGGATATAAAAATTTTTTACTCAACAAAAAGCAAACAAATGAAATAAATTATAAGAAATTTTCCGTATAATTAATAAAAGTTTGAGAAAGAAACCTTATAAACTTAGCAGCAGCAATTAAATCTAAAATCAACACAATTTTTAATAAAAATAATATCTATATTGAATATGTATGTATGCACGTACTTTTTATAAGATACGGCTGGAACTCTTAAAACCTTGCGGATTCCATTGTAGTGCCTATTACGCAAAACTACTCTTTGGCCTGCATAAATATGCCCTATCCAACATTTTTCTTCTACTTCTTAGACTGCCTCTGTTCATCATTTTACATTAAACTACAATCTATATAGAGTGGAGAGATAGTTTGAAGTTCTGTCCAAGTACTGATTTTCCTTAACTATAAGAGTTGTTTCCACCCAACATTATCTATCCCTATCTGCATTTATGCATTTGTTTTGTAGCTATATTTTAATTTATACAGACCGCAAATTGATATAGGATACTCTCTGATTCCAACAATAAACAAGATTGTGCGTAGATATTTGTTTATAAAAGTATGATTTTTTAATTTGATTCTATAGATAGTCTTTTATGATTCACTTTTATTGAATAGAACTGCTTTTGGTATTGTTTAAAATTCCCGAATTATTGGAGTTTTTTAGTTTTTTGGAGAATTTTTGATTTTTTTAATTAAAAAATATTAATTGCACTAACTTTTAAACTTTCAAATTGTGATTAAAAAACTAATAACAATTTTAATTTATTGTAAACTTTTTTTTTTAGTTTTTTAAACTAGAACAACGCCATCTATCGGTTGTTTAATTTTATCAACATTTTTTGTACTATATTGTGTATACTACTGATTAAGATATATCAAAAAATAATAAACTTTATATAAAATAAATTAGTCAGTTTGATTTAAAGTTTATGGTGGCTTTGAATGTGGTAGATAGTATTAATGATGAGATTATTAAATTTCTATGTATAGACTGTCATCACGCCCTAATTTACGCATTTCATCTATGACGCCCTTTGTGTAAATTAAATCAGATAAAGGAAAAAATCATTCTTAAACACTAATTGTAGTGTTAAATGTAGTAGACGAATATATAGTAAATTAAACTAAAACTAGTAAAGAGCAAATTTGAATTTTATCTGAAAAGAACTACAAAAATTGACAGTAAAAAATTCTGTGTGTAATTTCTTCGTCTAAATATAGTAATCAACTACGACTTACAAATTTTATGATTTCATGGATTAGAACTAACGTTGTTAATAATATAGTTATTTTTAACTATATTATATTAAACTATATTAATTATATTATATTTTTACAGTAGAAATAATAGTTCTTATTCAATTTATCAAAATAAGTTCGTACATTTTCTGAAACATATAACTTATTAAAGCTTTGAATAAATGTCGTCAGTTTGATAGTATTTTACTTGTTATATTTAAATATATAAGTTTTCTTTTTTTATTTTTTTTATTATATTAATTTGTAAATCAAATTTGAATATATTACAATTTGATTTTATTCACTAAATTTTATTCGCTTAATAAAAACTAACGAATCATATTCTTTATTAGTTAAAATATCATCGTACCAGAGTACCATATCTTTCAATTAGGACCACTGAAATAATTTATTTTTTTTTCTTTGTTACATATCTGAAAATACTAACAGTATTAGTTATAAAAGAGATGCAGCAGAATCGCCAAAACGAAACCTATACATTGGCATATTAAAATCTCGACAAAGTATCCAACGATTAAAATGTACTGAATTTTTTATAAATGTAGCTTTGCGCTGATGAAACGCATCTTTTTGTGAAACAATTTATAGTTGCAAAAAAAAAATGTAATTTCACTTTGGACTCAACAGAAATAAAAAAATCATATACATTTGCCTCAAAAGGCAAATAAAACTACACAAAAAAAAAACATCAAAATGAATTGGTGCAACATGGCGTATGAGTGTTGCGTGACGCATGTTAATTGCCGTAAATAAAACTTAAATTGAGCTGCGCACAAAATTTTAAATCAAATCACGTTTGCAGGAAAAAATTCAATTGGTTTTTACTTTTTACTACAAAGTGTTGAGGATGCAAATTAAAATAAAAACCAACTTTACTTTTTTGAACACCAAAAATTAAATTGCCGAGATTTGTAATACACTCCACTGAGTTTCCTGCTTTGCGATAAAAATAATTTAAAACGCTACCTACCATTGAATGCAAATTGAAAGGGAAGAAAATGAGAAAAAAAAATTTTTAATAAAAGTCCAATGAATGCATGAAAATTCATTGAATCGTCATTTTACTCTTTGTAACTGTCGCTTTATAAATTGATGAGCACGAAACACACGCACACACACACACACAAAAAAAAAAAAACAAGGATATGAGAACGTCAATGATTTCCTCTGAAGCCTACTAAAATCGTAGGTACTCTAACAAGACACGTACGCAGCGCTGCATTGTTGTTGTTGATGCTTATTTGAAGTATGAGTCGAGCAGCGTTTTCGATGTCTTTGCTTATTAAGAATTCATATTGCGTACGTTTAGTCCTCAATTAGGTGTTGATTGTGGTCAAAAATGTTCTGAACCGTTTGGCACTTGAAGTTGATGAGTTTTTTGGATCAAATTGTGAAAATGAGTATGTGGTTTACAAAGCTGCTGGAAAGGTTTGTGGTCAAACTTAATTGCTCTCATTGTATACTCCAAATATTTGATTGCTTGTTTGTTTGTGAATGTGAATGCGAATGTGGATGTCGATGTGGATGAAGTAAAAGTGATATGTTGTAAGTGGAACTCAACGCCTGTACCAATTTAAATTTGCATCAATTTAATTAGGACATTTCATTGCATATACCAATTGGCAATTAATGTTTACTTCATGAGGCGCAACTCTCATGAGTCGATTATGTCAGTAATTGTTTGGAAAATTAGCAAATTTGTATCAAACTGAGCTGGTAATGTTGGTTTCATTGAAATCTAACTATTTGTATGTAACTTTAAATTTTAAGTAATTTTATACTACATACACACAGTTGTTGTGAAATTTTATATAAATAATCCTGTTAATATATACAATATTTAAGAACTGCCAACGAAAATCATCTTTTTAAACTAAAATAAAGTAATGAACTGCTTATAAGACTTATATATATCGTATTGTTTATCATATTGTACTATAAATACGCTTTTCTACTTTCAAAGGATATATAGTTAAAAAATGGTATTAGAATACCAAGTATTATGCGTCAAGGAATTAAATGAGATTGTGTTTGAATACAATTTTTTACTAAGACGAAAAAAGTGCTCTATATTTATAGAGAGCAGTAAATTGCTTGATTGCAACAGACAGCTACATTGTGTAGTGATTATAAAATTACAATGAAATTTTTTTAAATCTCGGTTAGATTGGAGTGACGACTTTGTGAGCATTATTTAATCGTTCCAATATTTTATATATTTTTCTTCAATTACTTCTTTTTGATGTTTTATTAAGAAAACTGCCATCGCTACTAAATTTTGCAAACTCTTGTACTTACCTATAAGATCTATTCCAATATTTTGCGGCAAGAATCAATCAGATAACATATAGTTTTATTCTACAATCTATATTATCCTACATCCTAAACACACATAAGACATATATTAAAGCCAACTTTAAATGAATCTGACATTTAATATATAACCCCATAAATATCCATGTAGTGATATTTGATTTATCTCGTTAAGATTAAGAAAAAAACTATAATGTTAGCTATTATCGGTGTGTTTACATATTTTTAAACTTTAATATTTCAATGCATTTTGTGTAGAATAATTTGTCTTCGGTCTTTACATTGAATTAAGTTGAGATAATCCGTTTTTAATTGAAGCAAAATTTCTTTCCTTAAAGCAAAGAAAAGGTCTGCAAATTGATACCAGTCTGTGAAGCCAGTTCTTGAGTTCCAGTATATGGAAATACAATTAAATGAGAATATAGTGTAATATTATCAATGCGACAAGGTGCAACGGCTTGATGAAATGGTAATTTTTCTTTATAATTAGGATTCTCTCCATTTAAGGCATAAATGCTCTTTAATAACACCATATAATATTAGAAATTTACTTAATGAAAACGGTAAGTAATGTGGAGAAATTTACTCTGTGAATGCCCGGCTCTGAACGTCAATCAGAAGATATAGGTTTTTAAGAAGATAATTCTTTGATAGTTTATCAGATTGTTCATCGGTGAAGATCTATTAAATTATCTAAATGGAATGGATTTAGTCTCTACTCTTCTAGACTAGGGTTCTTGCGAGGATTGTGGTAGCATGCCTGCCACTGAAACTAACCATTCAATGTTGAGAAAAAAATATTTTTTTAAAATTAAATTTTTTTAATTCAATAATTTTTTAAACAAAATTTTGGATTTGTTTTATAACATACGTAGTATGTTTTACATATTTTGTGAAAGTCAATATATTGTTTCATACTAAAAATGCTTAATTTTTGCATAAAATATCAAAGGTGTTATTATTTTTAGTGAAAATATTTTTATTTATAAAATTTGTTATTTATGTAAAGAATATCACATGTGAGAATATTTACGTATAAATTTAAATAAAAACTTTTACTGGAAATGATTTTTTCTGAATAGTTTTTAAAACGACAAAAGTGCAGTTTAAAATGAGTTTACCCTCCTTTTTTTAATAAAATATTTTCTGTTTTTTGTTGGGAATACCTACAAATTTGCATACTCAAACAAACTTAGTTGCACATCAACTTTATTTTAAACGGAAATAGTTTATCAAAAAAGTTTTCATTCACTTAAAAACTTTTTAATTCTAATTTTTATTTAAAAGTACACACTTCCTTCACAAGTAAAATTCTATATCAACATTCCTTTAATTATAAGTGAAATGAATATGGAATGAAGCCAGCTCGACTGACTAGAAGTCCTGTCGGTATTTGTTTTAATTATTTTTTTTTAATAAAATTCATAAAAGTTAACTGTGTCAAAAATACAGTTTTGAACTCAAGGCTAGAAAAGTAATATATACTATATATAGTTCACATCAAAAAAGACAAAATAGCAAACACTTGGTCCTTTCTCATAAATTATGACAAATTTTTCTCTTATTAAAACACAAAATCGGTACCTTTTCCTTTAATTAGCAATAAGGGCCATTGTTTAAGTTTAATTAAAAATTTAATAGTACAAAAACAAAAAAGAAAAAAGTTTTATACTTTGTTCATTCACCATTTTTGCAAAAAAAAATTTACTAATTAAAACCAAATTTTTTTTTATTAAATACAAAAATCAGGATACACAGACTACAAAGCTGCAGAATATTAACAATTTTTCAAAGTAGCACAAATTAGAGAAGATAAATGGAAATATTTAAAAAATGAAATTAGTAGAAACCTTATGCTCGTGTAGCAGAGGAACCTTTACCGGAAATAGGAAGAGTAGAATTAAGGTAGAAAAATGGCTTAGTGAAAAAATGCGAATCAAGATAAATATGCGTTCTGCCTAAGAGTGTACAAAAATATAAAGGAAAATGGAAGAAAAAATATAAAAACATTTCCTAAATGGCAAATTTCCGTTGGAAATCGGAATTGAAGAGAGGGAATTTTTGCAAGAATAATATGAGAAGAAAAAAATATGTTCCACGAAAGGTATTTTTTCTTTTAAAAGACTTTCATTATTTATTTTTGGTACTTTCCATATTAATTCTTTTTGTTTCTCAGCTTGTAAAAAGTTAATATAAATATCTGCACAAATAATCTTAATTAAAATATTTATCTTTAAAGTATATTTTCGTATTAGAATATCTTTTTAATTAGATTAGATCAAATAAAGTTAAATTAAATTAGTTGATAGTTCATTTTAATTAACAAAATTAATTCGTTTTTCTAATACGAGTACATTTTTCATCACTTTATCTTTTTAATTGAATTACATTAAATAAAATTAAATCAAATTAATTAATAGTAAATTTTAATTAACAGAATTTATATGCTTTCTTAATACGAGTACATTTTTTCACTTTTTTTTTCAAATTAATTAGATTAGATAAAATTAAATAAAATTAATTGTTAGTTTATTTTAATTAACAAAAATAATATATTTTCTTAATACGAGTATATTTTTTTTTAACAGTTCTTAAGATCATACATCTGTAATTATCGATCGATGTTCTCAGTTCTCAGTATAAAGAAAATATTTCTAGTCTCATAAAAACATTTATAAATATAATGTAAACTGTAAAATAGTAAAAGCATGGGATTATTCTATAAAATTTTAAAATATTTGTTTAATAAATGATAGTAAAATTTTTATAAGGTCAATAGTGTGCTGTTAAAAATGATATAATACTCGATTATCTAAAAAAGATCACTAACTGTTGTTGTTAATAACAAGAAAAGAAATATCAGTACATCTCAGTGTATTGAAATCTATTATACAACCTCATACTTAAAACTATTAACATAGGCAATAATTATTTTAATCACGCTAGATGAAATTGATCCATTTAAATAGAAAAAATATTCATGTTGTCAATCATAGCATGACTTTCTTGTTGAACTCCTAATACTTTACTTTAAACTAATACTTTATATTTTAGAATACTTTATTACCATACCTACATTGTTGCCTAAATATATGAGCCGCAACCCCACCAATTCTTTTTCCATTATTTCGATGAAGTCCAATATAACTTTTTTCCAAGCTTTACATGTGTGGTCTTTGTGTTACAGCATAGAACATAAAGTTTGTATTTAATTCAATCTAACAATTGTATTATTTTAACCCAATCTTTATGTTTATCTCTTTCTATGCTCTCTGATTGACACAAAATATATATGAAACATATTTCCTAAATATCAAGACTTTTAATTCTGATATTGGTTACTGGAGGAGTGAGACTTCAGACTGATACTTTATTTGAAATCATTAATTAGTAAAAGGGTGAAATAGGTTAAAGTCTTAAATTGCAGTAAGAGATCTTTACTCAGCACGAGATAGAAAATTAAGCGCCACTTGGATTAGTCAAATAAAATATCTTGGAAGCAAATGAATTGTACAAAAAATACAGAATATAGATAAATGTAAGACTTCTAATATCGCCTCGAAGTTGCATTAGAGTTCAAAAATGGCAGAATGTTTTTAAACATGAGAAACTACCAATGCCAGCCAGTCTCGCAGTAGGCAAAATTGACTTAGATCCAAGGAAGGAAGTCCACTATAAAGATATTTTTATTTTGGGCTGTTGAGCTATTTTGCAGTTTAAATAAAACATGCAGGGTCTTAAATTATTAATGCGTGGTGTATTATATTATATTCTTTATTATATACTAATTAATATTTAATCTTTTAAACAAATCATGATTAATGATTTTGTTATTTTCTTTAAAAAATTTATTTTAAGTTGACTTATAAAAGTTTCAAAATATTAATTAAAAAATCAGTTGAAAATTCCATATTCTGCATATTACTAAATAAAGAAAAAATATTGAATGTTGCATATTTTAATCTAAAATAAACAACAAAGAAAAAAAACACTTCAAAGGAAATGAACTGATTTATTTCACACAATTTTTCAATATTTGCTAAAAATACGAGTGGAAATTATATTTCCATATGCCTGGCTGTGCAGGCGGCAATTTTTGTGTTGTTTTTAATAGAAAATTTGGTTAGATTTTTCTGTTTATGTGAAGTTATTTTTACTTTCAGATAGTTCTGTTTATTTTTGTAAACGGTGTGTTTGTTATTTTACATTTATTTTATTGATCTATTTTTAGGCGTTTATACACTCACACACAAGGCCATTCCGTGAACGATGAGCAACAGGTACATTTTATGGCACGATTTCCGATGAAATTGGCTGCTATTTTAGATATTTTGCCTTTATGCATTAATTTATGCTCAATCAATTTTAACATTTCACTTTTTGATTTTTAATATCTTTTTTTTTCTGTGTAGAAAACACTTAAAAAATTACTTCTGAGTGATTTAATTAACGCGTGATTTAGTTGGAAAGTTCAAAGCGCTGCGTTATTGCATTAAACGACTTTCACTTCAATTTAAAATTTTTTGGCGCTGATTTATTAGTCAGCAAAGTAGCACTCAATAGCAGAGGAGGAGGAGGATTAAAGATGAAAATTATGGAAAGACATGAAATTTAATGGAACAAAAATTTAGTTTAAGAATTTTTAAAATAAAAATTGATCAGTTGTATATAATTATTTATTCATAGAATTATTTTAGAAATTAGCTCAACTATTTTATTAGAAATTTAAAAAATTTTACTGTTTGTCTTGTGAAGCTATTGTATTTCATATATGAAACTTGGGTAAATGCCAACTTCACTGATCTATTTGATATCTAATAATATCTAAATATTTAATACGATTTAATATTGATCTCAAGCAATGACTATAAACACACTCTCCGAAGTAACATTGGATAACGACAACATAGCTACTATCGTATATTGGAAGCTAGTCAATATAAGCTATGTGGGAGATCTTAATAAAGCTTTTTCAACACATGCTCTGCTTTCGGTAAGACAGTGCAATGATTGCTAGTAAATTGATTATTCATTTGGTGTAACACTAAAAAGATGTCTTTAAATTGAAGAGATCCAGCTTGTTATTGAAAAATAGCTTTCAGCTGATTAACTTTTTAGTTGATTACTAATCGCATATGTAGATGCAATATTTATAAATAACGAGTAATAAATCTTGGTTTTAGTTTCAAGTAAAAATTCAAAATTAGCTAAAGGCGAGAAATTCTATGCACCATTAAAGAGAGTTAAGGAGTAATCATTACAGTGAATTATTGACAATTGATTTAGGTTATTGTCGAAAAGCATGCAAAATATTTTTTATTAATAAATCTGTAACAGATGTAGTTTCAAATATATCGGTTTACCTTAGTAATCGTTTGATAACATCATATGAGTTTGAAATGGATCTAATACTGCACATTATAAAAATAAATATTTATTTTAAATGATTAACCTTAGAGCTATTTCGTATAGTCTGAAATATTCATAATCAGTAGTCTTTCTGATCAACTTAATCCTT